CATTACTTGGGGAGAGGGGCGGGGGGTGCGGCAACAGTGGGAGTGGGGGCTCTGCCCTGCTGCTGCTTGCCCAGTCGGGCTGGGGAAGCTGGAATGCGGGTGCAGCTCACTCCAGGCAGATGGGGGCAAGTGGCAGCAGGACATAGTCCCCACTCCCAGCTCTGCCACACCTGCATCCTGTGCCCTCCCATGCTGGCTGGCAAGTGGTGGCAGGGTAGAACACCCCCTCCCAGTGCTGATGCAGGCACGGCAGCATTGGGAGTGGGGGCTATGCCCTGCTGCTGCCTGGAGGGAGCCATGCCTGCATCGTGACCCTCCTCCCCTGCACCAGCTGGGCAAGCAGCAGCAGGGCTTAGCCCCCGCAGCTCCCCCCCGCTGGGGCAGAGGCAGGTGCAGCTGGAGGAGCTGCAGGAGAAGCCCCCATGGCTGCCCCACCTGGACCCATCTGCTGCTTGGCCCAGCCTCCACTTTAAATATATATAAAAAAAAAAAAAAGCGCCCCATATTCATGGGCTCTGGCAGCGGCGTTCAGGGCCTCTGAGAGTTTGTGGCAGAGCCCCCACCCCAAGCAGTGCAGGGTGGAGCGGGGGGCACCAGGGATCGCCTCCCCCCGCTTGGCTTCTGCACACCAGTTGTCCCATGGCATGGGTGCGGCGTGGCTTGGCAGGATGCCACTCACTGTCTGGGAGGTGGGTTCACTGGGGCTGATTGCTGCTGGGCTCCACCTTATTGCTGGAGCCACCACAGATTCTAGAAAGCACTCTGTGCCCTGCTGAGCCGCGCTGCACCCACGCCATGGGGCAGCTGCCGCATGGGTGCCAGGTGGGGGGGATCCCCACTGCCCCATGCTGTGTGGGGTGGCTCTGCCATGAGTGCCCACAAACCCCAACTGCTGCTGCTGCTGCTGCAGCAGCCGGTGAATGTGGGGCTTAAAAAAAAAAAAGCACTGCATTCACCGGCTGCAGGAGTGGCAACTGGGGCCTCTGGGTGCTCGTGGCAGACCCCCCACACAATGCGGGGCAGTGGGGACAACGGGGATCATCACCCCCACTTGGTACCCACATGGCAGCTGTCACATTGCATGGGTGCAGCGTGTCTTGGCAGGGCACTGTGTGCTGTCTGGGAGCTAGCGCGGCTCCAGCAGTCAGCTGGAGTCCGGCAGTGTGCACCCCCAGCTCACAAGCAGCACATGGCGCCCTGCTGAACCGCACTGCACGTGTTCCATCGGACAGCTGCTGTGGGGTGCCAGGCAGGGAGAGGGAGGGTAATCTCCACTGCCCCCCACTTCCCCATGCTGTGCAGGGTGGCTGGGGCCAGGCAGGGCAGCCATGGGGGCTTCTCCCATGGCTCCCCCCACCTAGGGAGAGGCAGGCACAGCTGAAGGAGCCACAGGAGAACCTGTAACCACCCGGCTGTGCCTGCCTCTCCCCGGCCGATACAAATCACCAAATCTCTCCGAATCGGCACCAGATCTTCCGAAGCTGATTTGGCTGAATTTCTTCGGGACAGTGATCTGAATTGAATCACTGTCCTGTGAATTGGCCAAATTTGAATTCGAATCAAATACTTCCTTATATGCACAGGCCTAGGAAGTATAAATGACACAAAGCAGTTCCATACTAGCTCTAAATAACTTGGCATGTGTATGAAGCGAAGCATAGAGCTGTGCAGAAATACTGGCTTGGGTCCCAAAGGAAATATACTTACGTTACCTAGAGCCCTTTAATCTCCTTCTTGACTAATTAGCTCTTGTGTGGTATAACACTGATACAGCTGTTCTGGTTCTTGTTCCAGAGCTAGCTTGGGGAGGCTAACCAAACATGCTGGATAGATAGAATAATCCCTTGTTTACTGAGGGCCATGCACCCTTCTCCAGCACACACAAAAAAGAGTCTGCAATGGATTACTTCAAGACAATAGCCTTACAAGGGGTGGCTTAATGAGGCACAGTCCTGGATGTACACTTAAAAGGGCACAAAAATGAAGCCCATCACCACTGCTGACCTAGACACTACTGCTGCCACCTGGCCTCTGCCTTCATCTCTTCCACTGCTTCTGCCTAGGGGCAGACCATGGTAGTTATGCCTCTGTCTCAAGGTAGTTCAGGAAACTTTCTTGGGGTGAACTAATGAACAGCATAAAGCTGACATCATTTTGTCCTTCTTATTCCTCAAACTGCTGCAAAAAGTCATGAGTGAATTTTTGCTGCTGTTTTGCTTCTTGCACAGCTTTAAACATTTTTCTAAAAAGTCACTTTTTAAATTCAATTTGAAAAATTTCAACAGAAAGGAAGAGTGGTTCTAAAAATGGAATGAGTTAATGAGGAACAACAAAACTCATATCAAAGCACCTTCCTTCCCACTCCTTTCTTCTACCCCTTCTTTTCTCCCCTGCCCCCTGCTCTCTCCTCCTCCCCCTCTGCAAAAAAGGCAGCCTTGGTGACTTTGATTTCTCTTCTGTCCCACCATGGATTTGAGGTCTGTTTCTCCAGAGCCAAAACAAGTCTTGACTTCCCAATAAGAATCATAGAATCAATGAGTCGGAAGGGACCTAGACAGATCATCTAGTCCGACCCCCTGCCATGGGCAGGAAGGAGCACTGGGGGTGGGAGGGATCATAAGACCCCAGCCAGGTGCTCATCCAGTCTCCTCTTGAAGATTTCCAGGGAAGGTGAGAGCACCACCTCTCTGGGAAGCCTATTCCAGGCTCTGGCCACCCTTACAGTGAAGTAGTTCTTCCTAATATCTAACCTAAACCTATCCTCCCTCAGCTTGTGGCCATTGTTCCTGGTGACTCCAAGGGGGGCCCTGGTGAACAGACTTTCCCTGAGTCCCTGCTGGTGGCCCCTGATAAAGTTGTAGGCAGCCACAAGATCCCCCCTCAGTCTCCTCTTGTGGAGACTGAAGAGATTCAGGTCCCTCAGCCTCTCCTCATAGGGCTGGCCACGGAGGCCCTCAACCATA